CTCATTTTGATATGTATTTTACACCAGATGTGCAGGTAGTTGAAATTTTTATTGTACTTTGCAAGTGGAGTAAAAAAAAATGGAGAATCCAATCTGTTGATATTTATTTTACATGTGGAATTAATCAGGTTCAAAGCTTTTGCTGCGTGACTCCTTCACTACCACGAGCACATAATTTTTACACATTTTATAACCTTTTTTATCAACTTTAAAATGTGTGATACTAAACACGTTAGCTTGAAATTTTGCACCAATATGAAGAAAGGGAATTTCCCTTCAAACTTCCCAAAGTTCACCAGTTTTGAGTTTCAAACAAGCAGTGAAGTGTTAAAATATGTACATTTTTGGTTTTTATTGTGTATGTAAAAATAAACCTGAAAGTGTAAGAATCAAGGTGGAATGATTTTGGGTAATTTGTTTTTATCACTGTTTTATAGATGAAGTTTATCAAATGCTTTCAGTATTTTACAGTTTGGGTTATTCAGGGTTATATCCTTTCAGTGCTTCATAGGTAGGATTATTCAGCTTTAATTCTGTCAGTTGGAGTTTTGTTTTCTCAGGTTCTATTATAACCTCACAGATAAGGAATGGTGGAGAATGTGATACTGAACTAAACAAATTCTGACTAAACTGAGTTGGAGAAAAGAGATTTGATACAACATTAAACAAAGAAAAATCAATCTTTAATCAAAACAAAAGTCAACTCAGTAAGTGCACAAAATACCAGATGGTACTTGTAGATGACAGAAACAAGTCTTGAATTTTCAACATTTCTGGTGATATGTCATCTCTAGACTGGGAGAACAAAACATTGTAAACTTTAACAAATAGGGTCAAATCTCCCTAAGTGCATGTGTTACTTAAGTCACTAGTCATTGCATAGATTAAAATAAGAAAGCCATAGTCTCCAGACATTTCTAAACCTAAACACAGTCACTGGAGAAAGTGAACAGAGATCAAACTACAGTAATGAAAATAATTATAGAAACATACAAAATATACACATTCAGGAGTCACAAAAATGGCAAACTTATCAATGATAAATAGTATTATCACAAAGAATACAAAAGTGAATAAGTTGTACAATACACTAGTATTTTATTTGAGCCCTATACTTTACACAGAGCATTGTATCTTGTTTTCATGCTGTCAGTTTATCAGTGTGGTATTGTAGAATAGTTCCAAGTATCATATATTACTCAGTACAATTCAATAACATGGATTTGTTGTATACCAGTTTCTTCTGTTCTTATATTAGCTCCTACAGCCTCTAGAGCTGTGAAGTTTACACCCAGGTAGTGAGTGTTCTGTCATTCATTGTTTTATTTTCTGAGGGAATAGTGTGATGGATTAGAATTGGCCTATACCAATCAGAAATCAAGGTGCCATCAATTTTGTGATGATCACCAATACTTGGCTGTTATGCAGTTAAACTTGTATTGATCCCCAGCAAGCTTCACTTTAGATGGTGCAAGTTGACCATGACACAGTTCTTCTCTCTACTGTTGAAAAAACTTGTTCATTATTACCAAACAATTTGATTTTGGATTCATGTGTAAAGATTTTTGATCATTCATTGTTTGGAGTTAAATGCCAATTTCAGTCTTTTTGTTTGATTATCTCTCCTAAGTAATGGTTTTATGACATCATTGATGTCACTTCATGCTAATGTGTATCTTACTCTTCTTGATGTAACATTCATGCTTGCACTTGCAGCTATGTCACTGACAAGATCTCTTACTGGATTGACAAGGATCGTATAAAGAGCATACTCTGAGTTACTTAGCTTCATTTTGAAATTTCTACCTTGTTCACTTTTATTACCTTCAGAGATTCAATACGGCTCCTAACAAAACACTATTTAATTTCAACTTTTAACGTGCAGTAAGTACATTTCACTAGCCAAAGCTTTTATTTCTACACATTTTTCATGTGACATTTCTACCCTGGGAGCCACAAGTGTTTTCACTACACTACTGCTTAAAATATTATAACTGCTTGTAATTTCATAGGCATTATGCTGATTTGGTATTGTCTCGATTGGTTGGGTTACAGTGTAAACTATTAACTCTCTCACTATGAGCTCAGTCGCAGGGACTGACTTTATTAACATTTTGTGCTTGTTATGGTTTTCATACTATAACTTTTAATACAATATGTGTATCTTCACAAAATTTTGCAGATTATCAGTAAATATTACAAGGCTTTTGTACACAAGATATTAGATTTTTCTTATTGAGTTTTAAGATTTTTTATGTAATGATTTGCTCATGCTGTTCTTCTTTTCGAATGTTGACTGTCCAACATGCAAAGTAATTTTAATTTTAAGGTTAAAAATGCTTTTATGCATCAGAGAATTGTCAAATTTCACATGCAAAATCTTTATAACCTCCAGATAATTATGAAACATTTTTGTTTTGAAAAACGATATATATATTTTTTTCTGTTATTTTCACTATTGTATTTCTGTAAGGGTTTGTTCTGCTTGACCAATCTCATAACCACCATAAAAAATTAGGAAATGGATATAAATTATGCTTTTTTTTCTTTTTTTTTTTTAGTAATTACTGCAAATCATAACAGAAACCACAAACATTTATCTAAATTACTTAATTCTCATAACAGTATACATATATATTTATTTATTTATTATTTTTATTTTACTGACCTTTCAGCTGTGTTTGACTAGCTATACAGAAGTTGAATGCTGTAGTGCACGTGTTGCTGTATCCAATAATATAAAACTGGCCATTACAAAGTGATCTGTCTTGACTTTGTTGTAGCAGACCAGTATTTTGTAAAATACGGTCACATTTCAGTTATAATACATTATATATATTATTACTATTTACTAAATAAAGTTTTTAATTTCAATTATTTTTTTCAAACATAGAACAGTAAATAAAGAAGCATAGAAAACAATGATCTCTTCTACTTACGAACTTTGTACTCATTTGATAAGCCTTGTCAAATTTTTCAAGCGGAGGATGTAAAACAAAATAGTTTTTTAGGTTTTATATATGCTTTTTGAAATAAAAAATCTTAATTATTATATCAGTACCACAGAAATCCACTATAATTTATCAGACTTAGTAACTAAACTGTATTTGGGTCTAAAAATATATATATTTCAAACAACATTTTCACTTACCCCTTCCTTCCCAGATTCGATGCAAAAGGAAAAAATCTTGGAAACTTTCCACCTTAAAGAGCCAGATAAACACATGGGCTTTTGATTGGTTATAAAGCCAAGAAGGAGCAAAGTGGGTGTATGTATGGAAATATTTCCAAAAATAGAAGAAGTGGGTGGGCCGCTGTGTTTGATTTGCTAAATATAGTGATATCTCAGCAAATAGAAAAGATAGGAGGTTCTTATTTTATATTCTGTCTTCTTAATATTGGTAATTTGGACATCACAAACATTTAAGCTGAACCAGTGTTGAATTCAACATACAATGTGACACACAGAAATCAATATTTAGGTGTTTTTTTAATATTTACTTTTCAACAAAGAAATTAACTAATGTATAATACTAAAATTTGAATTTATTATACAACTTGATGCAGAATTTATTCACAGACATTCATAAAATAGTAGTTCAATAAAATTTTGAATGTCAGTCTACAAATGTGAGGGCATGCCCTTTGACCTCTGACCTTAGGAAGACCCTTAGCAAGATGATTAACACATGACTGGAATCTAATGAAGCTCATCTTTTCAACACTAAAGAGGTTGTATTCCTATAGACTTACCTTTTTTTTTAATTATTATTTCCATAATATTTTAATACTGTAATTTCAGGCTTTAACTACACCACCCCTGAAAAAGTTAAAAAGTATTGAAGCAGGACATGCTCGTTACACAATCATGGTCATCTCTATGAGAAAAGTTTTTTTCTATGTGCAAAAAGCTTATACGTGCTCTGGAAGTGGAAAAGCTTTCAACTTGTTTTTAAATGTGAAGATAAACTGGCATTTATTTAACTTGTATGAGGCAGAAAACATTGTAATTTGTAAAGTATTAGAGTTTAATTAGGTTCAAATCCTGTCAGAATTTTACAGTTGGGGTTAATCAGGTTCAAATCCTGTCACTATTTTCCAGTTGGAGTTAATTAGGTTCCAGTCCTGTCACTATTTTACAGTTGGAGCCAATCATGTTAGAATTTTACAATTAGAGTCAATCAGGTTCAAATTCTGTCAGTATTTTACAGTTGGTCAATCAGATTCAAATCCTTTCAGTATTTTACAGTTGGAAATAATTAGGTTCAAATCTTATCAGTATTTAATACTTGGAATTATTTAGTTTCAGATTTTATTAGGATTTTACATTTGGAATTATCCTTTTTACTGCAACTGCTTTAGATGTGTGCAGAATTTTTGTGAGCCATACACCATATACAGTATGCTCACATTCAACTGCCAGAGGCAAACTACCCTATACAACGAATCAGCAATCAATGGATTAATTAGTTTCCAATCTTATCAAGAATTTACAGTTGAAATTAATTTGGTTCAAATCTTGTTAAGAATTTAGAGTTGAAATTAATTTGGTTCAAATCTTGTTAAGAATTTAGAGTTGAAATTAATTAGGTTCAAATCTTGTTAAGAATTTAGAGTTGAAATTAATTAGGTTCAAATCTTGTTAAGAATTTAGAGTTGAAATTAATTAGGTTCAAATCTTGTTAAGAATTTAGAGTTGAAATTAATTAGGTTCAAATCTTATCAGTATTTTACGCTTGGAATTAATTAGGTTCAAATCTTGTCAGTATTTTACACTTGGAATTAATTAGGTTCAAATCTTATCAGTATTTTACAGTTGTTATTAATGAGATTCAAATCATATATTTAAATTTGATGATGTGGAACAAGTTTTTAGAAAATAAAGTTTGGAGGCAACTTGATTGTGTAAGAAACTTTATTACAAGTAAAAAGTACAAGGTTTGTCATCATTGGGTAGAAGTAGTTTACATGGGCACAAGATGGAACAAAGAGGTCAAATATCTGAATATTATAGCTTAGAAAAGGTATCTTGGTACCTTGGTTTAGAGTATGATTGTATAATTCAAGTGAAATAGCTTGCTTAATTTTGCATTTGTTGATTTTTTGGTTCTTTATTTAAAATTACTATGTTTTGAATAGATATACTGTTTTTTTTTTTTTTAGTTGTAATTGTAGTAAACATTGGAGGTTTCTTTTATTACATTTGGTGAATCAGGTTTTCAGATTTTCCTCTAGTTTCTCAGATGTAAAATTCTAGACAGTTTCTTTTATTACCCATTTTTTAAACCTTAATATCAAATAATGTATGTATTTTGCAGTTGAATTGGTTTTAAATCCTGGCAGTGTTTTGAGGATAATGTGTTAAACCCTTTTATTTCATTTTCAAGATAATATGGTCTATTTTTAAATGGCTTGTAGTTTGATATAAGTAGGTTTTCAAAAAATAAAAGGGGAAATTTTACTTTATATTTTCTAATTTTAATTAAATATGATATTTAGTCTGTATTTTCTCTTCATTTTCTTATTTTTATGACTAATTTTTTATCTTTTTCAAAATATTTTTGTAGTTCTTCCCCAATGGCTTTGCTTTTGCCACAGGATCTGATGACGCCACTTGCCGACTGTTTGATATACGTGCAGATCAAGAGTTAGCCATGTATTCTCATGACAACATCATCTGTGGCATCACCTCCGTGGCCTTTTCAAAGAGTGGCCGACTTCTGATGGCAGGTTATGACGACTTCAACTGCAACGTGTGGGATGCAATGAAAGCAGAACGAGCAGGTACACAACACTGTTTGTTGTGAAAGTATAAAATCTCAAATAAATACATGGTTTTAGCAGAATTATATAAGACAGAAATGTATTCTGATTTTTCATTTCAATCTAAGCATTTAATGAAGGAAAATTATATTCTATTTAAGATTAATTGTTTTTACATTTAATGTTAAATACAGAATGTTATCTGTTTTTCAATCAAATGAAAAGATAAGGTACAAGAATGAAAGCTAGAGAATTAATAGCTTAATCCTTTCCATACGGGTCACAAGTGATAGGTCATGTCATCTTGCTTGTTGATTCACAATTAACATTTTATTGAACAACTATTACATTAATTTATGTCAATAAGTTTGGTATGAAACTGTAGATTCAAATTTTAGAAATATACATTACTCAATTTGTTAATTTAAAAGTAAATATTAAAAAAACAGATAAACATCGATGTGGTATATTGAATGCAGCTCTGGTTCAAATTAGATGTTTGTGAAGTCAAAATACTAAGTCTATAGTTTTATACGAATTAGAAACTCAAATTACAGAAACTGACAAGCTAGAATGTAAAATAAGAAGGTCTTATCTTTTCTGTTTGCTAAGATATTGCTCACGTAATAAATCAAACATAGTGGCACCCCGATCACCTTCCATTTTTGGAAATGTTCCCTTATAAACACTTATTTCTATATATGACATGAAATACCAATTGGAAGGTCAGTATGTTCCCCTGGTGGTTTTCTAAACCTTTCTAACACACCTAGCATCATTTCTTTCTTTCAAATCAAGATTTAAATGAGGAAGGTTGTGTCTTTAGTCTGCTTGAAATTTCATATTTTTTTAGACCCAAATACAGCTTAGTTACTATGTT